TTCTTGCAAAACTTCAACGAAATAAGGATTCTCGCATACTGTATTAAGGAAACTCTTACTGAATTATATCGACAGATTATGTGGAAGACATTTATCAGACCATTCTTAATGCCATCAAGTCACCAACAATGTAACAGGATGCAGTAAATGAGTTGAAAGATCAAACCACGCCACCCATGATTTCTACACTTGAGAAACAGTCGTGAATTCTAGCTGTTGAAAAGCATATTGCGAGTTAATTAATTTATAAAAAAATTAATTAAAAGTTTAATGAAATAAAATTTAATTTTACAAAATTATAAATATAAAGAAATTTAAATGTTGAAAACATTTTCTATTCAACTTTTTTAAATCATTTAATAAAATTTTATTTCTTTTATGAAATAAAATTTAATTCAACAAAAAATAAAATGAATAATTTCGAATTGAAAAAAATATTTCAAAAAATAAAAATTCTATATATTTTTATTTTTTTACGACGTGGCCCATGGCTATCAACTATCAGTGAAGTACTCCATGTAAATTATCAGACGGAAACTCGTGTTCATGCAAACATGGCGGATGGAAGAGATGCATACAATAACTTCGTGGCAAAAGTAAAAGCTAAACGAATCGGTCAAACAGACAACGCAGGGCACGGCAAAGGCAAGAAGCCAAAGAAGGGCATTGAATGTATTGTTGTGCAGAGAGTTAACTCGCAGCCAACTGGGAAATTGAAAAAATTGGAGCCACTGGATTCAAGGGACTTTGTAGACTTCACCCATTATGATTCATTGACATTGAAAAACATTCAGCATGCATGTGAGTCATTTTATGGTGCTCCTATAGGCTCTTGCGATGTTCTGTATAGCGACAGAGGTCCTTCTTGCACCTTAGATGAGCATGTAACCGGGAAAAAGTTTTATCTAGTGCGGTTTATGACATCAGGAAATGGAGTGCGAAAGCTGAACAGGCCTACTAATCAACGTCAAAATTATGAATTCAGCCCTGAGTTCAATAAAAATGTCAGCCACTCAAGCATCATGCCTTTCAGTTTGCCATCTAGAAGTGCATTTTCCAAACCTAAGAATGACAGTGGAATTTCATCAGCAACATCAAGTGCTGAGCCAATGAAGGTTACTGTCCCTAAATCTGTAACAATAGCAGATCTTCTTGGTGCTGGAAAGCTTATCCAACCAGAAGTTTGTGATGATGTTACACTGCAACTGGAATCTTTTAGCATCATCGAAAAGGTATGGCTGAAAAATGATCCAATCAGTTTTCAAATAGAAAGGAAACATTTTGCAGCAGGAGGCTTTCGAAATGCTTTCAAAGCAGTCAGTAACAAAGGGGTTTTTAAAGGGACTTGGGTTGTAAAAAAGTTCCAAGCAGAAACATGGGAAAAACATCAAACCACTACTTGGGGACACCACAATTGTTGAACACACAAGAAAGCAGGTGCAGATGCATATGGCTGCTAAGGGGATTTTGAATCGCTTGGAAAAGAAGATTGAAGAAAAGGAACTATTTGGATCTATCTTTAGTTATGATGAGATATATTTTTCAATGATGGAGGACGTGCCTGTAACAGTGGAACCATTCCTAGCTGGAACCTTTGTCAAGTATGTCAACAACAATGGAGAGCCAATTGCAGCAAATATTGTAAACAAGGATATACATCAAAAAGCAGAAGCAGTATGCCACTTTTCACTTGCTGATAGTGAAGGAAAACTACTACTTCTTGACTTGCAAGGAGTTCGATATAAGCTCTGTGATCCAGAGATTGCAACATCTTCACTTGCTGATTCAATTAATGATGCTGAAAAGTTATTCTGTGCAGGAAATCTTCAGGACCATGCATTTAAAAACTTTTCATTGCATCATGTATGCAATTTGTATTGCAAACTTCTTAATTTGGATCAATTATCTAGCAGTGTAATTTCATAAAAAGCTGGTTATTTGTAATCCTTTTTTGATAAGATGTTGCAATACATGGAAGCTTAACATTGACTACTATTGACATTTTGTTTGTTACAAGTTGCTTTCATTGGCTATGTTAGGGGCCGCACAAAAATTGATTCTTTTAGGCAAAATATCCACTGGACATTCAACAAGATTGTGATTTCAAAATCATATGGAGTACCCTCCTCATTATGTTTTGAAATAATTGTTGATATTGCTTTTCTGGTAGATGCCAGTTTTTTGTTTCATTTTGAAATTGTTATTTGGCCTTAGCTGTTATGTTATCAGAGGTTTTTCATTGATTACAAGGAAATAGTAACAAAAAAAATGCACGACAAACTTATCAGAAAAAATCAACATTTTCTTGATTTTGAAAACAACTATTTGTTTTCCTGAATCCCATTTACAGACAGATAAAGAGCTTAGCAGCCTTGTTATAACAAAAGGTAGCATATGGTAGTAAAAGTAACTTTTATTTGTGTTCCAAAACATTATGACTAAGTGATAACATTTCAGATTGAAATCTATTTTTTGAAAAATCTGCCATGGCTTAGATTTTCAATCAAAATGCAATATGGACCAAATGATTTGTTTTCCCTCACTTTTCCCTGGCTAGGTTTAAAAATTAAGAAAGATCCCTGACTATTCCAGGTTTTCCCTGACTTTTCCTAAAAATGGCTCATTTTCCAGGTTCTCTAGGTTTTCCAGGTTTACTATGAACCCTAATCGACTTGTGTGCAGCCCCTTATCTATGTTAATATAATTTTTTATTAATATTAAGGGCAACTATTCTTCAGATACTCATAGACGGCAACAGTTTCTCTGAACTCTAAATTGCCTGGTTCTGGTACAAATCCACTAAATCTGGTTCTATCTTCAATAGACAAGTAATCATCTGGTGCATTTATCAACTCTGCGTAGTCAGCTGCATCAATTAGATCATTCTCTGCCACAACAAAGCCTTTGTTCTCACCTCCATAGTGTTCTGGAAATGCATACATATGATCGGGTATGCCTGTTGGAAGTTGTAACTCTTTCTGTTGTCTTATCCTGTGAGAATTCCATAATCTAACAAATGCATCACATTCCCTTTTTAGCACAGGGATGAATATATATGCTAAAATATTACGATCCCTTGCATTATGTGGATCATAAAGGCATCTTGATAGCAACTGATTCAAATACAATTTTAGGCCCTTCTCCATTCGTTCATGAAGTTCCCTCCACCAACGTTCAATTTTATTTGACGTAGATGGGCCATAGATAACACTTTGAGTTGGATCTTCCAAATCTCCAGTTTTACTCCTGAGATATGCATGCATAGCAGCCATCACACCAGTTTCAGTCCCCTTATCAATGCGTATATAATTTGGAATGATTTTGGCTTTATTTAGATACATCATAAAGAACTTTCCTATCACAAGGGGGTTGGAGTTCCCAGTCCAAACATTGAGAAATATGATCTTTCTGGAAAATGTATCCAGGCAGCCATATATGGCAAGTGGGAAGGTACTGTTCTGGAACCCCATCATTTTGTTGTGCCCATCCAATGAGAAGAGCTGATTGGGCCCATCACATATGAAAGGTCTTTTCATACCCTTTTTATTTTTCCGAAGTTTCCTTGCTTCAACTCCTTCAGGGTCAAGATCCCACATAATATCACTCACGAGTTTCCTGGGTACAAAAATGCCATGTTCATTTCTTGACTTCAGATTCATACTTCGATATCCAAGCTTTTGTCCTTCACCATCTAATTCTGCCCGCACTGCATCTATAACCTCTGGCAATGGAATAGCTCTGTTCACATAACGAATACCACAATATCGTAGCCTTCAATCAAGAGTTGGTATACTCCAGCTGTACCTGAAATAGCCCCTCTTTACAAAATCGAGTATTTCTACTCGTTTCATGTTGGAGCCAACATAACGTCTCAAGTCTTTTTTGTGGTTTTCGTCATCCCGCCAGTTTCCAAGTTCACACGCACTTTCTCTTGACTGAGCCATGAATGCCAATTAATGTAGATTCATACAGTAGTATGTCTCAGTAATCCAAGCTGTGGACAGTAGATGCACAAGTAATTGCACAGTCAGTTGTGATATTAGGCCCATCAACAATGCAGTGCTTTCTGGTAATTTACATGGAGTACTTCACTGATAGTTGATAGCGATAGGCCACGTCGCAAAAAATAAAAATTCTATATATTTTTATTTTCAAAATATTTTTTTCAATTCAAAATTATTCATTTTATATTTTGTTGAATTAAATTTTATTTCATAAAAGAAATAAAATTTTATTAAATGATTTAAAAAAGTTGAATAGAAAATTTTTTCAACATTTAAATTTATTTATTTTTATAATTTTGTAAAATTAAATTTTATTTCATTAAACTTTTAATTAATTTTTTATTGAATTATTCTAAAAATGATGATAGTATGCAATCAAATTTGTAAAAAAAATTATTTTTTGCGTTGATAGCCATGGGCCACCATACTTACAGTGCCTTGACATGGCTCTAAATGCAAATCCTTTCCATTGTCTTTTAAAAGAACTGCAACACGGCCATTTAGAGAAACAAAAAGCCTTTTTTTGCCAGCATCGACCCACAGAAACCCCACAATCTGCACTGTTTACACCAACAATGCCTTTTTTGCTGAAATTGTTAATGGTAGGCAAATTAGGGATTTTCATAACAGCACATAATTTTTTACCACCTGTTTAATCAATCCGTTTCTGTGCATGGAATATACAAGGTGCTTGTTGACTTCAAGTGCTCTATTTATTTGCTTTGAAGCTTTGCTTTATGTCATACAGTCAGGACAGACCAACATGTCCAAAATGCCTGAAAGAATGCCAATGTTGAAAAAGCGATACCCTGTTGCTAGTTTTTCAGGTTGTTGAGCATGCACAAAAAAGTTTCTCAAAAGAAGCAGACTTTCTAGCTAATGGGGTTGTAATGAGAAAGAAGCAAACTGAGAGAAACCAAATTCTTAGATATGAACATTTGAGGCTTTATTCAAAAAAATTAGTCTCAAAAGTAACGTAAACAAGGCAATGTTAACAAAAGGAACCAACTCAATGGCAAACTCAATAGTGTAAACTACATTGTTCCTAAAATATTAGATATAAACAAAACGGATAGATATAAACTGGGCTTCAGTTTTGAACTTACTGTACATTTTTTGTACAAAACAATGTCTGTTTCATCAAGAACAAACTGATTATATTTTATTTTGAGAAATGTCTCTCACATAATCATCTTATCTTCTCTAGTATAAGATATAAAGTTGGCTATTACAGCATTACTGGCATATGCACCCATTGCTTTCTCTGGTCTTGGATGCCAGTTATATAGCTCTGGTGCTGGCTTTCGTTTGCTGGATTGATATTTAGCAAGATGCATGGACTTGGAAGATTTTGCATGCTTTTTACTTGTGTTGCAAGTGCATGGCTGGGAGATGGAGGGAATTATGGCAATTTCTTCGAACACTACAGGAACAACAAACATGTTAATGAATCAAAAGGTGTCATTAAACTTGCTGGAAACCTGTTCACTGAACACAGCCCCCAATGTACAACCATTATGATTTCTTTTTATTCGCCTTATTTCTAGTCATAGTTACGTTCTTTTAGACACATGTTACTGTTCATTTGTTTTGCTTCATTTAGTTTGTTGCAGTTAGTCCCTTTGTAGCTGCTTAAATATACAAGTTGTTTTGTACTAGGGTATTGATAGAAAAATAAAAATCTTGAAAATCAAATCTTGATCTCTTGATGTATCACTTAGATGTAGTAGGGCAGTTGCAATATGTGCATATCTCCAAAGTACACTTGCTTTTCAATCACAAATTGCATATTTAACATTGCCGCTTGAATATCTTAAAACTACTGCCACATTCAAGGGTAGCAAGTTATTCATTGAATTTTGAACATGGACGTGCACAATAAATTCATTCCTACTTTCAATGAAATTATCCTGAAGGTTTTCCATGAAACCACTTTTTTGTAAATTTCTATCTTTACATAGTGGCTTTGCAGTAACAGTGTCCATCATCTTCCTCACTACTGTCATTATTTATGAGACGGGTACTAGGGCTGTCCACCGAAGGTCAAATAATCAATATTCGGATATTCGTTTCTGTTTCAATATTCCTGTTTCACCTGTTTCACCTGTTTCAATATTCGATTATCTGAAGCCCATAGGGAATATTCGGTTACAAGCGAATAGTTCAAATAGTACGATTATTCGGTTGGAGACAAACAAAAGGTAACAATGGTTGTTAGAATAACTGTGATTTTTCAAATAACCCTGACTGATCGAATGGCAATGACTGATCAAATAGCGTAAACTGGTCAAATTGTTTATGGATACAAGCCTTCTTCAAACTTTGCAAACCTAGGGATAACAAAGCCAATAAAGCAATATTGGAAGGAGGCAGGAGGAGTGGAATGTGGCTAGAGGGTGGGGGTTAGTGGGCTTTTGTGCTGCAAATAGTTTCACTTTTCAAAATGCTGGAAAACGACCTTTGATATTTAATAATTAATAATTAAATTTAAGGATTGACTCATAAGAGCACCAACTATTTTCTGATCAACATTAGAATTGCAGCAATTTACAACTAAAATTTATACAAATATGAACAATTCACAATCAGGGCAGTCTCAATCTCAAAGAATTTAAAATGGCATTCCATGTGTTAACCTTATGTCAAGGAGGGCAATATGGTATAATTCATAATGATGTTGATAAAAATAACATGAAAATATGAATTTATGTTTAATTCAGCAAGGTATAAAAGTGCTGCAATTATTACTACAGTTAAGACCATACCAATATGCATGTTTGTTTTAGGAAAGAACAGAATAAAACAATTAAATCACTATACAATTCAAACAGCAATGGTAATTACAATTTCAGATTTAAAGACATTAGCTGAAAAAGTTTCATTAAAGTAGTTATAACCAATAATAACTTATTCATTCCAATTGTGTAGCAATGACAAGTGAATTCAACAGTTTAGTTAAATATGGTTGGGTGAAAGTGGAAATTTACAAATAGTGTAGCAGACAACTTACTAAAAATGATTTAATTGAAAAAAGTGTCTGCCAAGGGCTATCAAATATCTGAAGAAACAATGAGACACGTCTAAGAAACTGGGGTGAAAATGAAGGAAAAAGTATCCTGTCATCATTACGATGACATTATCTTATGTTTAGAATGCTGCATAAAACTGTGTGCAAAGTGAACAGCCGAATTATTGTTCTAAAGAAAAGCTGTCACAAATAATTCAAACAAAGGAGCAAATTTTGCAGCTGTAATCTCATGAATAAAACCGACAAAAACTTATAATTTTAGAAACGACAATTCTTTTTAATGTCATGTTCTACAATTCGGCAATACGAATAGTATTGGGGGATACTAGCGACAGAAAGTAAATAAATTTCCATAAGCGCAGAGGAACATTTTCTTCTCATATTCCATATTCAAGCAATAAAAATAATGCTTTCTTATAGTAAGAACAATTAAATTATTAGTGATACAAACATACCTTCCGACTTCTTCTCGTTTCTCCTCAAAACAATTTCAAAAGTGAAATGGAGTCAGCAAAGACCGAAACAGTGGGCCGCTGACTGGGAGACCAGAATTTGAAAAAAAGAAACCATTTCGCACGAGATGAATCTCAATGGAATTAAATGATTTACAATCCAATTATCGGTGATACCATTAAACAACTGTAGCTATATTAATCAATCCATAAAACTCCAGTCCAATTGATAAATGTCCTCAATAAGGTCCACATACAAATATACAGAAAATCCATAGTTAAAGGAGTCCAGTTTTCTTGGTAAATAGTTAAGGCGTTGAACTCAATGCCCAAATAATCCAAGCATGCGGTCTTGAAAAACCCAAACGATCCAAGTCTGAGTAATAAAGTATTTCTTGTGCCCAACTAAATTATAAAATAAATATTTCTTGTGCCCAACCAACTAAAGATAAAATATAAACAAAGACCCTCAATCGCATCAATTGAAATGAATGCCCTGTCCATTGATGTAGTTATCAGTGAAAGCAATCGATGAAGTTTTGAAAAAGAATTCTGCATAATAAACTAGTTTCTTTAAGCTACAGAAAAGCCAATACCACTATTTGAATCGCTTCGATGAGACCTTTCAGTTGGTGTAATTCAATTTGATGTGCAACATATATTCAATAAAATAATCCTTCAAAAGACCTAGAAATTAAAAACTATGACCTCACTATGATATCACAGCCACGCCCAATCTAGAAAGTAATCACCCAAAAAAATTCCCCTTGCTAAATCCTTGCAAATGAGCCATTGGCCCCTAACATACTTTATACCGTTTGAGAGTAATGACAATATTGCTTAGAAATTGAAACACAAAATGAGTAGAGTCAAGATCAAATAAGGAACTAAGATAGTCTAACTAAATTTGCATGAATTGCCCACTTTGCCTAGGCCATTTTCTCGTTTCCCTGTTATTTGATTTGTCAACAAAGCACATCGTTTTGTTCCTCAAACATCGGCGAACATCTTCGTAACAATTTTTTATTGTTTTGACCGTGTTTGTTGTGTCTCTGGCCCGTTGGAAACTAAGTAATTTCGGGCCCTCCATTGGCAGATCCCAGAGCAAAGTGACGATGTTGAACGCGCAGATTGCTATTTTGGGCGCAAGTTCCCGGATGCTCCTTCAGCGTGCATACGGCCTTCCAATGCTGTTTTCAGGGGGTCCGGTTGTGTTGCACAATTAACATCATGAGGGCCTGGCCGCAATGGATCCTGAGAAAAATTCAGAGGGAAGTTTGCCCGGTCCTTCAACATCAAATACAAATATAACGAGAACTTGTAAGAGAAAGATTAATTACGCTGAGGTCGATGACAGTTTACTTTCCCTGATTTTTGCTGAGCAAGAAGGAGGAGACCAAGAATCTGACGGGAAAAACTTCGAAACGAAACGCAAGAAAACCTCAAAGTCAACTTCACAAAAGAAAGTTAAACGACCTATTGTTTCAAATAAAAAAGACTCGAAACATCAGGATAAAAAACGTAAGTCTCGTTCAAGTAAGAATGTATGGCTCTGCAAGAAAAGCTTCCTTTCCATGACAAATGGTTTGAAAAGGGCTTCGCTGGTCGATGTCAGGAGCTATGTTTTCAAATTCCTTGACAATGAGAAGCATATAAAAAACAATGCGAAACGTCAAAAGCTGCTCGATTTATTGTGTGCAAGCAAAGCAATCGATAGTTTGGTGAAATATTTTTTTTCAAAGCTCAAGGAACTAATGGCGCAAAACCTAAAACTCAACCCAAAGGAAAGGCATGCGAAATACAGAATAAAATTTACTTTTTATGTCAGGGACTTGGTGCACATTTTTATGTCAGTCATCAAAAATCTCTAAATGGGCTGTCAAGAATAATTTACAAGGCAATGAGCATAACTTCTACTGTGTTGTCCAAGCTATTGCAGCCAGAGTATTTACATTTGTCCAAAATGAAGTGATAAAGTTTAACAAAATAAAGGAAGAAAAGGAGCATCTGGAAACAGACATCTGGAAATAAATTTTAATTCAAGGCCAATTTGATCATATTGGTTCTCAGACAACCAAATTTGATTTAGCAAAGATATTTCTAAAGTTATCATGCCTTGTTCTAAAAACCTTTTAGCAGGTATCAGTAAGGTTTTAAGGCTTTGAGACTGTCCAGGAAAAGTAGGTCTTTGTTACTTTTAAAAAAGACGATATCTCTCAAAAATTGAATTGAAAGTATTGCCAATATTTTGGCCTTTTTGGCTTCAAACTATAGACTGATGTCTAATGGCTTCACAAAAGTGGTTTGAGTTTCATTGACTGTGATGCTCAGGAGGAATGTTCAGAAAGGGCCTAGGCATCCCGTGCGGTAGTGTAGAGGAGGGAATAGGCAATTATAAAGCCTAGTTTTTTAAGAAAATACATTATTCCCAAGTGATAGCTGGGTGATTTGCTTGCGCAAACTATCAGGTAACTTAAATCTTAAAATGTTTCCTTGTTTAATTAACGAAATCTTCATATAAAGTAAATTGGGGGCTGGGCAGTTTTGGAGGTAGGTCTCTGGTGGGAAATAGGTGATGTTTCAGTGCAGATATTTTAGACACTGTTTGTGTTTCTGCTTAGGGCTCCGAGATTTGTACGAAACAAATACTCTAGAAACTAAGTTTGAAAAATCTTCTAGGTTAAAGAACGTAAATTTTTTTCCCGGGCAAAAGTATGGGGGTAGGTTTTTCTCCACAGCAACTGTGTTTTGGTTTGAAACATTCAAAAATCAAGCTCGAAATGGAGGCCGGTGATTGGCTAATGACATTTTGTAAACAAACCCGTTGATTGGTCTAGAACAAAATGGCTCTTGCTGTGCCAAAGTGGGTGTTTTTACCTTATCTCCGCCTTTTGGACAGATGTATACGTCTAACAGCCAATCAAGAAGGACTAAAGATTTATGGAAGTAATCTTATCAAGGTAATTGCTTATGTTCAAAAGATTTCCCCTGTTTAAAAAAAGAGAAAGTAAAAAGTTATAGTTTATTGGATGATATCATGAAACTTGAAAATTGTTGAAGTTGAAATTTTTGTGTGACTTTAATCAAAATTTTTAAACATTTTTCCTCTATTTGTGATAATTACATTAATCGGATAGGATAAGATCTAAAACAAAAAATATCAGATAATTTACCTTCGTTTGTGAACCTTTTTAAGGCATGACTCACATGATTAACCATTGAAAACTATCTTCAAATGCTAAAACAACCTGTTAATGTTCTGTTTATGTGTTATTTGATGCTAATTGGTGATATCTTCCTTTGAACAAATTTATATTAAGGTTGTAAGGAAAAATTCAAATACCATACTAAATTTATTGATGCTTTGTTAAAATGTCTTACTATCTAATAATAGGTATCACTGCTGATTTACTCAATAATTTGTACAATCTTTAGGTAACATCTTCAAATGTGAAAAATTGCAAAGAGTTGGAAGTCATCTTTAGTGAAGCAATTGAATATATCAGGGTAAATTTTTCAAGAAGTAAGAAGCTCTTCACAGCAGTTCATATTCCCAGGTTGTTCAAGTGGTGGCAGGACAAAATGGTTCATTCTCATGTTGGGCAGTTGACGCAATCGTATTACAGCTTGCGTGCTCATAAAAAGGGCAAACTAGTTAAAGGTGGTTCTTCCATTAGAGACCATTTGTACCATGTGGAGAGACAATCAAAAATGCAACGAGCAAAATCTTCAAGATAACAATACACAACAATGTAATTTATGTTTTCAGTGTTGCATGAGAATTCTCACCAAATCTTTGCTTAGGCTGTTGTGGCATTGTCAGAATTTTTAGATTATAAAGTGATCTTTTAGGTAACTGGGAACTTTGAAGAAACTCAAACTCAAAATCTTTTCTCAGAAAAAAACAAATATTAATGACAATTTAGTATACTAAACTACAATCACTAATAAGCTATTGAGATATGTTCCCTGTATGATGTAATTAATAGAAGATTATATATACATTTCAGTGTGTTTTAAATACAACAGAACAGTAAAGTTAATTGAAAAAAGAAGAATTATAAAAAAGTCATAACTACACCAAATTGTTTTTCGAAGTTTTCAAAAACCAAAGGAAGGGGAAAATCAATGTAGGAAGATTGTCTTCAAGTTTGTTTTAAATCTATTTTGGTGGTCTTCAAAGTATCTAGGATACATGTAATGGTTCTAAATTGCAATGTTTTCCTCAAACAAAAAATTGTTCTTTATGATGACTTCTTATAAAATTTGCGTCATAGCTTTTTTCTCTGATGTACAGCGGTGTATCCCTGTAGCCATGGGCAGCCTTGGCACCTCCATGCACGGTGCCAAGGCTGCCCATTTCTTCATCAATACACGGGATCTAGCTGTTGCATAGTTGACTGACGATAACTTGATGTTTGTTTCAAATTTAAACTGCGAGAAAAGCGTTTCAGCAGCACTGCCATTAACCTTTAATGGGAATATATAATAACCATTGTAATCGTGCAGAAACCGTTTCACCAGACCTGTGAACCCATAGACAAGAATTCTAAGTAAATCCCATGTTTGCCATGAAATGAATCTTCTTTCTGCCGAAGATTGAGGTTGGAAGTCTCCACCAGCATTTAATTTCTCCCACCATTCTTCAAAGAATTGATACCCATCTTCAATATTATTAACTATGGTTAAATCACTGCTTGTTATCTTTGAATTTGATAACACTCCCCTTTCAAATATCTTGTTGCAGGCAAGTAAATAATTACGGACTAGAACTGTAGCTTCAAAATCCTTGGGTTTTTCTGCAACATCTTGTGGATTTGCATGGTCATAAAGGTCAGTGAGAACATTGTCTTGCTGAAAAAAAGTAGTCATGAAATTTGATATGCTGAAAATGTTTACTTTTCTTTGCTAGGCTCATTGGATATATAAAGCAAATATTGCACTTCATGATGATGATATTGACTGTTTTTACACAAGAGAATAACTAAATTGGTTCAACTTTTATCATGGGTTTGGTAAAAACAGGCCTTGCACACAATGTTTAACTTAGAATTTTTAATTGTTCATAATAATTATTGGGAATATTTTAAGTTTCTGCAAATCTCTTGTTAACAAAATTGTATGGTCTTTATATGAATCAAAATTTTGTATCAGAATATGAAAAATTCTCAAAAAAATTTAGGGATTATTTAGAATTTGTACCGATGAGGACAAGGTTCATAGTATATGGAGATTGCAGTTTGGATGGCCTATAACTTAATAAAATACCTGCATTATCTTAGCTGGAGCAACATTTAACTTGGTCCAAGCATCGCATTCAATGAAGGATGGAAGCAACTTTGGCACTTTGCGCATGATACCAGTCTCTACTCTTGTGCATTCCCTCTGCCACATTTCAATGATAGTATTCCAACCAAACTTACATCCACCCTTTTCCATCTTAAATTCCTTTGTCCCACCATTTCGTGAAGCAAATAGGGCATTTATCTGGTTTTTCAACTGTTAATAAATAGAGAAAGATAATTGGAAAGGGAGTATAGCGATAGAGAGTTTTATGGGTTTTTAATGGTCTCATGGTCTGTGTACTTAAAAGAGATTGGAAAACAAAAATAAAAGTAAATAATATTTTTGAAAAGAATATACTACATTTTTCGATAATTTCCTATCAATTTTTGGGTTTTTTGCTTTTTGGCTTGGCAAATCTCTGCAAATATTTTACTTATTGACAACCTTCACAAACTTCAATTTCCAATTGTTCAAACAAAAATCTAAGAAGATGCAAAGGATTGAAAGTATATACATATAAATGTTGTTGTCCCTGGTGGGATGGACAGATAACAAAGAAAACATCAATGTCTGGATCAAATGGATTTTGAAACCAGGGCTTTACTTTATGTTTGTTTGTGTCATCATCAGATGTACCATATGCTCCAACTTTATCATTTGAAAGAAGTTTTATTGCAGCCATATTACTACTTGCCCCATCACAGACAACACCAATGGTTATTGAAAACTCGCATTGTTTCCAAAAGAGTCTCAATAACTGTTGTGTGGTTTATGGTTGATCTCAGACTGAAGTATGGCCTATGATATCAAAGCTGGATGTGAGGTCTCGCCATAAATACTGAAGCATGTATTCAGCTGGTGTTGGCTCTGTGGATTCCAATGATGATATATGTCATGTAGGCTATTAAGGTCATCCACATCCATTGCAAGCCCCAAAAATATGTCACTTTTCATCTTTAGGACAACTTTCCCAATCACTTTTACCTCGTCAAAATCAATATGCCAACCCCAAGTGGCTTCTTTAAACCTTTTTTCAAAGATTCCTCTGAGAACAAATCATAGTCTTCCTTTTTTCTGCTATGTAGTCCTCATTAACACCAGGCGAATGGTTCCTAACCGCTGTAAATGTTTGAAGACTTATAGTAGAAGGTAACTCCAGAATCTTAAAACTTTTCAAGGCATTGAAGGCAGCTGGAGACCGAATGTAGATTGCAAGGGCTGCAAATAAAAAAGGTTATAGATAATAGACAATATTTTTCATACTAAACAGAATGCTAAAAAAGTGTTAATTGAGTCCAAAAAAAAATTCATGTAGGGAACAATTTTCTTCCTTTTTTGTCAGTAAATAATAGGTGTTCAAAGAAGTTGTGGTCATTTTTTCTACATAAGTCCAGACCCATCATGTTTAAGTACAGGCTCATCAATTCAAAATCCTACATTTCATGTGGTACAAACACATAGCACCAACTAAGCTTGTAGGTAAGCATAAAAGCTAAATATTTATTTTTCTAGGATTTTCTTCTAAACCAAAAAGATAGTATCCAGGAAATTTCTTAAAGGAAAAACTATCTTAGTAAGAAATAACTTATGAATTTTTGCTAATAAAATTTCTTGTTAATAAAAATAATGTTATATTATTTTCAAACTAACCAACACGGTATGTTATCATGCTCCAACGATGGCCATTGGCATTTTGCTTTCCTGAAATTGCAAATGAAAGACAGTCATTTCAAATCTAAAGAAAAAGATAATAAATGTTCATATAGAAAAAAAGATAATAAAATGTTTTTTCACCAGGGGGTGTAAGCATAGATATTTAGGACCAAGGGGTACAAACTAGCAATCCAAAAAAATATCTTGCATAAAAGTTGACCAACAAATGAATTAGTTTGCCCTGGACAAGAAAAGTTGTAATTTTTGTCTATTTTTTTAAACTTTTCTCATATTCAAAACCTAAAAAAGTAATTCTATGACTGGTTGACCCAAAAAATATATTTTAAAAAGATATAGCAATTTATATTTATTTTATAATTACAATAGATCACAAATTAATCTATTTTTAAAGACCACTGTTTATTGTTGGTGCAACAATCAAATAACATAACATGCTAACCTTTATTGACAAATTGATCTCTGTGGAATTGACTTCTATCTTCAGTGTCTTTATCCCATACTTCCTTGATGAGTTTAGGCAAATTTTCATCCATATCAGCCCCCTCATTGAACACTGTTTCCAGCTCATTCCCTGCATTTTTGTTGATCTAGTTGACCACACTTTCCATGTCACTGTTTTCTTCATTACACAAGGTGATTTCATAGTCTTTTAGTTTAGATTGAAATGATGCACCTTTTTTTTGCAAATCCCCTATTTTCCAAGAATTTGCCAGAAGCCTCTTCTGCTTACTGACCGGTGTTAATTTTGTAATTCCAAAATTTAATGTTGCCTTTAGTCGCTCTTGATGCTTTACTTCTACTCCATCATCTCTATTCTTAACATTCATTCTTTTTACATACCTAAAAAAGGCCTTGCATTCCCCACATGTTGCTCCTGCTGCTTTTTGGGCTTTACTTAAACTCTGTCCAACTTTAAACCAAACTTGACATTTGGTACTAGTTATTCGATCAAAAGGACTCTTGTGTTCTTCTTTGTTTTTTAAATTTATATGCATGTTCTTTGACATTAATTCAAACTCTGAAGGGGATACTCCAATGCAAGGGTAATGCTGCATGTCAAAGAGACTTAGCAAATTGTCGATTAGTTCACTATCAAAAGAGCCATCGTCGTTAGTTAGTTTGAAAGTCCATTTGGGCTTCGAAAAGACCTGAAAAATCGCATTTCCATCGTTCAGGATAACTGCTCTGGATGAATGAGATGGCCCACCTTTGGAAAGATCTGTAATATCAGGGCACTTTCTTTTCAGTTCTAGGAAAGATTCGCCGTGTTTCAAAGCAATTTGCGTTGCATCCACGTTTTCAAGCCTCTTTGTGCTCTTCAAATAATTTACTAACGACTCCACAAAGCTTTCTCTCTCTGATGGCGTGCCTGATGGTGTACCAACGAAGATGTTTGCCTGGTTTTCTAAACTTTGCTCCTCGCCAGAAAAAACTTCGGTTTCTACTGTAGCAGATGTCCCTGATCCTGCTTCTAGCGTTTTTTTCCTGGCCAACTTGTTAATTAATAAAGCTCTAACATCTTTTGACACTGTCGGAAAATCTAACGACTTTCGCTGAGCCATTTGGAGTGCGGCATCAATGTATACTTAGGCCCAAGTGATGTTTTGTTGTTGTTAATTGTGCAACACAACCGGACCCCCTGAAAACAGCATTGGATGGTCGTATGCGCGCTGAAGGAGCATCAGGGAACTTGCGCCCAAAATAGCAATCTGCACGTTCAACATCGTCACTTTGCACTGGGATCTACCAATGGAGGGCCCGAAATTGCTTAGTTTCCAACGGGCCAGAGACACAGCGAACACGGTCAAAACAATAAACAATTGTTACAAAGATGTTCGCCGATGTTTGAAGAACAAAACGATGTGCTTTGTTGACAAATCAAATAACAGGGAAACAAAAAAATGGCCAAGGCAAAGTGGGCAATTCGGGCAAATTTAGTTAGACTATCTTAGTTCCTTATTTTATCTTGGTAGAGTAGAACCAAAACCGTTACCACCGGTCGAATCGCTTTGGTGAGATCTTTTATTTGGTGTTATTCGTTTTGATGTGCAACATGTATTGAACCTTTTAATTTTAAAAAGATTCCTTGAAATTCAAGACTATGACGTCACTATCACATCACAGCCCACCCAATCTAAAAAATTCCCCTTGCTAAATCCTTGCAAATGAGCCATTGGCCCCTAACATACTTTATACCGTTTGAGAGTTTTGCCAATAAAGCTTGGAAATTGAAACACAAAATGAGGGGCCGGGCCTCTTCAACACTGCATTACAAAAAATGGAAACATCATTCAAACATCAATTTCGAAAGTAAAACAAAAACCAATACCACCATTCGAATCGCTTTGATGAGATCTTTCATTTGGTGTTTTTCATTTTGACGTTCAACATGTATTTAATTAGTTTATTTTCAAAAATTCCATGAAGTTGAAGACTATGACGTAACTATGACATCATAGCCACGCCCAATGTAGAGAGTAACCACCCAATAAGATGACCCTTGGGGATCCCTTCAAAATGAGTCTTTGGCCCCGGCCTTCATTCGTACAGTTTGAGAGTTATGAGAATAAAGCCTAGAAACTGCAACACTAAATGGAGGGCTGGGCCTCATAAACATGGCAGTAGCATGGTCCTTAACCTGTTGCAGAAAGCTCATGAGCTACGGCAGTAAAGTTTTTCATAATAAGACACAAATTAGTTGTGGAGGGGGAGGGGTGGCCAGCCTAGAAACACAGCAGCAATAATAATGTAAAACGCCTTGAAAACATCATTTTGTTAAGTAAAGCCACAAGGAATATATATTTGATTTGTTACAACTGGTTTCGTTGTGCTATTTACACTTTATGAAAAAATTATTCAATGTCCTTTTTTGTTACTTTCACACAACTATGAATTCACAGCCACGTCTAGTCTAAAAATTAACAAAAATCTAACCTTATAGATTCCCATTTGTCGAGCCTCACAAAAAACCACTGGTCTCTAGCCTGCTTCGGATGTTTCCTTGCTTATAATTTCAATTTTCCTATAATACGGTTCCTATAAATTTCAATTTAAATTTTCATAATGTTTATAATAAAGGAAGAAATTCAAATTTTGCCAAACAGCCAAATTTATATGTTCTGAACTTTGCACAATCTCATCTGGTCAGAATACAGGTCTATAGAAGTTTAGACATCAGTATCAACAATAAATGCCACAAATTATATAATTAACTATCAACAGCCGTGCCAGGTCTTTATGCATATGTAGATTAACAGAGAGAGAAGACATTCAGATTGATTTTTTTATTTTAACAACAATCTAAAACCAAACAACATTCTAATATCAACAACAACAACAACAACTACTACTATTTATAATAAATGTTAAAACTTTGGTGATGGCCACTTTAATTATGATAGTGGCCAGATCTGGGGGTGTCCCTACCGGACTCCCCCTTCTTCGCCTTTTCTCTTCTCATGTCGATAAATTTGACATATATCGTCATCCCTGGTCTTAAAAAGAAATTAAATAGAAATAAGGACAGGAACACTGAAAATAAATATTGAAAAGAGAAACATCAGAAAAACTTTGCTTTTTTGATTTTCTTGTTCAATCAAAGACTCAACATCAGATTAGCTATGTCATTATAAGTGAGACTCGTCACACTAACAAGTGAAATAATAAACATCGAAAAAACTACATATTGAGTTCAAGACTTAGTATTAGTAATTGATAACCCAATACTACAGATAGAGAAAGCAAGAAACGCCACTAGAGGAGTTTGGAAAGCATGTGCACTATTTGACATTTTTAAAGTTGAAAATGTAACAACAAATACCTTATTTTGTATAACTTTTTTTCATGCTCATCGAGCATAATGAAGTTTTGTCTTTGTTTCAATTGAAAAACACGGGCGACCCTGTGCTTTAGGGCCCTCAGTTTTTGTTCGTAGGGCAGCAACTACAAAACATACAATAAAGATATTAAATTTTATAATTCTGATCCGTCTTAAACCTATCATCAATTTAGAATAATAATTGTTTATGCATTATTGATTGATTGCACCACATCTTAATGTTTCAAAGATGAGGTAGAAATAAGTTAAATTATAACTAATTTCTACAATTACAGTGTCCAGTGTAAAATTTACTCAAGCAGTACGCCCAGTTGTACATCTTTGCTGAGAAATGTATATTACTACCTGTGGCTTTATCAAATGAGCATTTTTTCTTAACCGTATGAATTAATACAAAGCAATGAGAGCATATCTTTTCTCTTCGTTCAAAAAAGATTCGAAGCTCTTCTTGAACTCCCTTGAAGGTAAGCGAAAATATACACCAGAAAACTGTAATCAGATTTTGCTATATTTTGTCATTACTGAAACGTAACTTGACAATGAGCAAACAGTCAACCTTTTTTAAGCTGCCTATCATCACAAAGGGTAACGGTTGATAGGGTACAATTATTGTTGTCAAGCTGACGAGATATCATCGAAAATCATAAAATTATTCTAAAAATCACTGCTTCTAAAAATTCATGTGAAATAATAGAAAGGAATGCAATGATACCTCCTGTTTCCCCTCGCCGCCACAGTTCTCTTCAACATTTGTTTTCTTTTTAATGTGAAATAATAAAAAGGAATGTGATCATATCTTCTCTTCCCCCGCCAAGGATTCTCCGTTTTCTACCTCCTTGAAGGTAAGGGAAAATTTATACCAAAAGACTATAAATAATTTTTTTAAAATATATAATTATTTCTGAGACGTAGAGAGTAACGGTTGATAGGGTAAAATTATTGTTGTCAAACTGACTAAATATCAAAATTGTTAAATGAAAAAATTAAAATCTTTTAATTTGCTAGTATAGTAGCACTGAAGATATTGAAATCTACTATTCAAAATCGTCTTGAAGAGAACTTAAACCCTAAGATCAATTTAGAATAATCACATTTGATGCAATATTCATTGAGTGCAACAGATCGTAATGTTCAAAGAATATGGTGATAAGAAGTGAAATTGCAAACAAAGTAAAGTCCAGCCTAAAATTAACTCAAGCAGTACATCCAGTTAGGACTGACGTACATTCTAGCCTGACTAAGAAGGATATTAACAAAATGAACAATTTGATCTTTTTTTCATGCAAAATAGTACACAGGATTGCGAACCTACCTTGAGAAAAGTGAAATAAAAATCATAGCAAAATGGCGCTTGACTGTGCCAATCTGTTGCTGGTATGGTAGGTTCTATATTACGCTAAATGAAGATATTAAAATCTGCAATTCTAATCCCTCTTAAACAAAATTCAAACCCAAATATCAATTTAGAATAATCAATTTTGATATGCTATTTATTGATTGCATCAAAGTGAAATGTCCAAGCAATGGGGTGGAAAAAGTGAAATTTAAGCAAAGTTGTGAGATTCACACTAGCATTGCTAAGGGAAACATGCCTCTCCGTGGAATAATTAAAAAAACAAAAATGTTCATAGTCAAGACGAAGGATATAATAAAACATGAGATCATACATCCATCTCCTCCACAACTGTTTTGTTT